TGATTACCCTCTCTGTAAAGAAATTCTTTCTAATATCTAACCTAAACCTCCCCTGGCACAACTTAAGATCATGCACAACTTAGCCTCCCATGTCATTCAGTTGGGTACCTGATTCCGACCTGTTGAGGCACTGCAAAGAACAGCAATCACTTCACATCTCATGCTGACAATAGAGAAGTATTTCTGAGTGTAGTTACAGTAGTTAAAAATAACAGTAGCCCAAAATCTCAAGAGCAAAGATTAGGGTAGAACACAGGGTGCAAAACATTATTATTATTATTATCATCATCATCATCATCATCATCATCATCATCATCATCCACATTCTAATAGTGAACGTATCACCATCATCATCATTATTATTATTCACATTCTAATAGTGAACACATGAAAGAGGTAGCAAGAAATACCTAGTCTTCTGCTTTTTTTTCCTCTAGTTGATATGTAATTGCTGTTTTTGGTATGTCTCGAAGAAGTTTAAAAAGTGTGGTAGCTCTCAAAGTGATTTTCCTTTTTCCATTTGGCAGATTCCCTACCATGATGAACAAAGATGAAACAAACAAAAAAAAAGGTGAACAAATCAATAGATTTTTTCTCTCTCTGCCCTCACACAACCACTAGCATTACTGTAACAAAACTACTTACATTCTGTGTTTTTATGGGCTCTTGTATGATGGGATCTTGGAGTCTGGGTAGTACTCCTAAATGCCACTGTAATAAAAGGCAAATATAAATTAGAGGAGTTTGAACTGTTTTCCTCAATGTATTTTTAACCAGCAATTACCTATTAATCAAAGTAATAAATACTCTGTGGTCTAAAACTTCTAGATTTACAAGCAATAAACCGAACAATTTAAAATAGCTACTTGCATTGTCAGCAGAAGTTAAGACTGGACTTTTTTAAAACTAAAACACTCTGAACCAAGACATTTTAATGGTCAAGAAATCCTCTAATTTTGCGCAATAAATATGTTGTCCAAAAATAACAGGAGAAATGATGATCAGGTTTCCAACTACTTGGTTAAATTAATAATAACACAAAAATGCTCCCTCTGTTGGTTAATTTTCAAATGGTATTCCGAATATCACAATAGCATCCATTAAGAGAGTATATGCTTTTTGGGAGGAAAAAATCCAAACCCAATCCAAACAAAAACCAAATGAAACAAAAACCCCAACAAAACTCCATAACCCAAATTGAGGCACACAAGAGTAATCTTCATTATAAAATCAATTATGATTTAACAGCCATTAAGCCAAATTATTTGGATCCAGAAATAAGTAATATACACACATCAGAACTCTTAAAATTTAATTTTGGAAGGTTTGCAGGCTAATTGTTTCTGGACCAGGAAAAGTACTCTCTTGCAATGGAAAGAATACTACTGTTATTCTATTTTCTTGTGGAGTGAAAAGGCACCACTGTGTGTCATTAAGAAAACAGTTCTCTATTAGCATTGACAACAATAATACTAAGGAGGAATTTGGGAGTTTTGTTTATGCACATTAAATTTCCAACAAGTGGTTCTTTAGGAGCTTGATGGTTTTGTGCAACGAGGAGCTTTCCTGAGCTTAACAGTTTCCATCAAGGAAAAAAATTCTGTTTCCATGGAAACATCCGAGGTGGACCAAGCATGGATTAATCAAAATACAATGATGCCTTTTTGCAAGGTACTAGAAAAAAAAATTCAGTTTTAAGTGAGCACCGCTGCTCTTTCCTTCCATTCACACTAGAAAGCATGGGAAATTCTCCCCAAATGCCTATGTGACATACAGGTTAATTAGCACAATAAAAAGTTAGGTTTTCTTACATTCGTAATTAGCATGTCATTGCAAACTAGGATCCAAGGATATATTAACATGAAAAAAGAGAGAGAATGAAATAAATAATTTAAAATTACATTTACATTCCTTTTTTGGTTTTTTTTGTGCTACTGGTTATATCAAGTAACTCTTCTTAGATTTGAAAAATTTTAGTAGTTTTTTTCTGTATTCTTAGTACTGCAGGCTCATTTCTTAGTACTGCAGGCTCATTCTGATATTCAAAATCCAAGCTATGGGTTAGGAATTTTTTGTTGTTGTTGCTATGAGTGTACACGATATTATACCATTCTCAGCTACCGTCAGAGAATTTTCTGACACCACAATTTAGCTGCGAGTTCTGCCATTGCCCAGGGATGAACAAAAGACTATGTAAAAGCCAGCCTGCCTTCATCTGTGTTCTCAACAAAGCAAAATGAAACACGGCTCCATTTTTATCAGACCACTTCCACTAAAGTACTTATTTTGTCAGTTCTTTGCCTTAACAAAATAGGCACCATTTTTTTTATGACCCATGAAGTTATTTTCTAATTATTCTGTTATCAAAAGATGTTCAAAAATACTCAGAAGGTGTTAAGAGTGGCACACAATAAATAAAATAGAAACCAACAAATACCAAATGACTGTAAGCCCTCCATTTGTACACAACAACATGACATTAATGTTAGAGACACAAAATGCACTTCCACTTCTAATCCTACCTCAGAATGAGGCTCCATTCTGAAAAATTGCCAGCAATAGCATTGGCAGGGTTCCACTTTTGTGTTTTTCAAAGGTTTGGTAGCAAATACATGCACAGATTTTTTTCCTCTTTGTTTTATTACTTTCCAGCAGGGATCTGAGAATCGAGCTGGGTTTTCCATCTCCAACATCACCATTAGTAATAAAGGCTATGTTGGTGAAATTATGATCACAATAATCTGTGTGTAGTCCCTCTGTTATTAAGAGATTTGCTCAGATGTTACTTGGTGAAGAAGTCCCTGATTGAGAAGTGGCACGCATGGACACCTTGGTGCACGAGGAGGATGCGCCCTATGGGCTCCCGCAGGTTTAAATGAAGTAGAAAGCAGCATTTCCGTCATCCAGGCAGGCAGATATGACTCTGAATACACAACAGCTTGGTTTGTGCAGTCACGCACCGCAGCAGCTCATTCTGAGAAACAGGTGACAGTCAATCAGTTATTACTTACATTGGAGAAAATTCCATAACATTGTAGGCATTGGCTGGTCAGGTGAGCCATGTGGTTGCTTTCAGGGCAGTTTAGGGGCATGCACACCCCACTGTGCAGCCATGGTATGTGCAAAGGGCACATGGGGCACTGCAGGAGACCAGGAGCGGGAGGATTTGCTCAGCACAAGTTCAGGTGAGTCTTTGCAAGGGCACAGGCATGCGGAGTGGCACAGATGCCCACGACAAGGTGCCAGCTATGGAAGCTAGGGACATATGGAAACACAGCTTCCACTGTGGTGAAAACATGGGCACAGGGAGGCATTAACTCTTACAGGACTGCTGAGAGGCTGGCACACTCCTGCTTTTGGACGCTGCCCTTCAAACCCCGCTGTCACACTGGTCTGGAGGGGCAAGAGCACCACTGGCACGGCAGCACCGGCACAGCTGGCTGGAGAGAGGATCAAGCCACGAGGCAAACACAAGCCATGTGGCTGAGCAGCATGGGCTCCACATGCATCTGTGTACGCTGAGTGACACAAGGGTTGGGAAGCGTAAGGAAAGGTTTTGGAAGGCCGGGTGGAAGCAGGTTTGGGAGGTTTCCTTGTGCTCCCTTTAGACACTGCCTCCAAGAGCTTGCAGCCTCTTGCCCTTAGCTCTGCCTGCTCCATGCCATATGCCCACACCAGTCCACCTCCCTCAGCAGCTGTTCCCTCTTCCACCAGCCTTTTCCCCGCTCTGTAGGGGCACATTGAGCCTTTGGGGCTACGGCTGCACCAGTGAGGTGGAGGGGCTGAGTTCTTCGCAGAAGTGACCTTTTTTCCTGGCCTTTTTCAGCATAAACATGCCTAAAATGGCAAAATCATTAAGCAGGTGCAAGGAAAGCCCGTAGGTCCTTTTCCCCCAAACCCCTCCACCAGCTCAGCTGATGCAGGATACCAGGATCCCATCTTGCACCAGACAAGCCTGTGTCAGCAGGGAAAAGTTAGCTGAAATCACAGTGTTAGGCTCACCAAACCAGCATTTCCTAGCATGATTTCTTTTCTGCCAGGAAATATTGAATTGCCCTGGTGTAAATACCCCTTCAAAATGAAATCCTCCCTGTGGTGGAGTATGTTCCAACAAAAACTAAATATAAAGTGGATAAAGAAGTACCCTTTTCCTTGCTACCCACGACATTACCTCACAGGCTGATACAAGACTGTTTTTTTTTCACAGACACAACTTTTCTCCATATTTAATACTTAAAACACAGGCTTCTTTATAACACTACATCTTATATGCCTGAAGCTCAAGGGTGGAGATGAGCCGCCTACCTCACTCGGGTGACAAGGGACATCTAGCGGCATTGCAGCTCCCAGCACCACTGCTCAGGCTGCAGGGACAGCAGACACAGCCACCTCACCTGTCCCCATGGCATCCCTCCCCACCGCAGGGAAAACCTATGGCTGGTACAGGGAGTAACAGCTCCCTGCCTTCTCCATCCTCTCATCCTACCTTTGTGTGCACTCTCTCTCCGTTGAGTCTGCTCAGTTCTGCTCCACCATTAAGTTTCCTTAATAATACAATAATATGTTATACATATAAATATATTTTCAGTAAGAGGCTGACTATCTCAGTGACAAAGGCCTGCCATGGATAGGAAAGCATGTAGCCCGCTCCCTTTATTCGGAGACACATACAGTTTTGGAGGAATGCCTGTCCATGTGAAAGTAAAATAAATCAGTGTGTGATTAGAACAAGACTCTTGAAAATTGTAACCACATGTCCAGGCAAAATTTTTGTTTTGTTTAATTAAAAGAAATAATAAATAATGGCATGACATCCAGCTTAATTATTCACATCACTAATAAAAATTCAACACACTGTCATTAGAAACAGAGCAGTACATACTGAAAGAGGGTGGCTTTAGGTTAGGTATAAGGGAGAAATTCTTTAACATGAGGGTGCTGAGGCACTGGAACAGATTGCCCAGGGAAGTTGTGGATGCTCCATTCCTGGAAGTGTTTATGTTGGATGGGGCTCTGAGTAACCTGGTCTACTGGAAGGTGTCTCTACCCGGGGGGGGGGGTAGAGGCAGGGGGGTTGGAATTAGGTGATCTTTAAGGTCCTTTCTAACCCAAAACCTGTGATTTATGATACTTAAGAAATCAGTTTCACAGAATGTCAATTTCTTTCACAAGAAATATTTTGTTGCATGGCTTGAAAAACTGACTGAGATTGTCCCCTAATTGCTCCAATTTCCCACTCCTGACATTTAGCATAACACCTGACTGGCATGGAACTCTCTACATAGGCAGAACTGCACTTGCGCACAATTCCTCCGCTGCTGAGTGGAGTGTGGTGGCCCTCCCATCCCCAACAGCACCCAGAGCCAGCTTGGGGCTCCCAGTTGGGGCTACAATGACAGACTGCCTGAGGGCTACTTTTTTCATAGTATTTATAAGCTTTACTTGAAAATAAACTCCCCAAAACCTAAGGTTTCAGTTCCACAGGAGGAGTTTTGATGTTCCTGTCTTTCAAGGTAGCATCAAAATACTGTTGGTTTTTTGGGTGTTTTAGTTTTATTTTTTTCTCCTTTCTGCCTCATTTAGATTTCCCTGTGAAGACATTGGGGCTGGAGGGGGAATACAACACCACATGAGTGAAAGAGTAACAGAGGGCTGGATGCAGTGCTAAACCTGTGGTGGTGGCCAAAGTTCTCCAACTTCGGTTTAAGAGACCTCACATGGCTGTGGTTCACCTGCGCCTCAGCCTGGGCTTGTCACATATGTTTAAGAATAGCTGATTTATTAGTTTTCCTCTTGCGTTCTGTTCCAAAAATTATGAAGAACATTTGTGGCTGAGAGCAAGTAAAAAATGGCCCTACGGGAGATGCCAGAAACACACAGAAACACTGACTCATTAAACTCACTTTCAGTTTGTTTGGCTGCCTGTCTTTTCCTGTCCCTACCCTTTTTTTTCTCTGAAAACTTCCCCTGATCATCTCTCCCAGGTTTATTGCTTATCCATTCACCATCTTTCCCCTTTCTCTGCAAAGCTCTCTAAATTTCTTTTTTAATACTTTTTTCCTTCCCATTTCCTACTCCACATACATGTGTCCTCTCTACTACCACCTCCTGCAAACACCGTAACCCCCCCAGAATAAGACCACAGGCTGAAAAGGAAAGGAGGCAGGGAACATACAGAGCTTTATAGAGCAAAAAAATAATGTGAATACTTTTTCATGGGAAACATTTAAAGAAACAGGCCTGTCTTTCCCATTTGATATTCTTCTTGGTGAAAAAAACCAAAACAAATAACAACAATTCAAACAAACTACTTTTTCTATTAAAGCATTTCACTGAAATTCAAACAAAATGACACTTATATGTACACCTGCATATTATCTTCTTTTTCTTACCCTCCCCGTTTTCTTTCCCTTTTTTCCCCGAACAAAACCACTGTGTAGTACCCTGTGCGGAAATACATAAACCACCATCTCATTTTCCACAGAGTTCATTGTGGCTATAACACACATGTGTATCTCAAATTTGTAGATGGCAAGTTGCTACCACAACTCCATGATTAAAATCTTCCAGGGAGCACACAACACCTTTCATGGCCCTTCCACTGCTCAGAGCAGAAACCTTCTCCTCTCTGTGAGCAGCCAGCCCTGGGAGATGAGGAGAGACACAGAGTTTTAAAACATCATTAACAATTAGTTTCGAAATGAATGTGAGAAATTTTACAAGGAAAGTTAATCGGCCCAGGCTCACCTGAGCTCAGTAGAATATTACTTTGGTGTGGAAACAAGGACCACCAAACCGAGATATTTCTGTGAAGTACCCAAACCATCAGGAAAGGGATGCTTTGTTTTAGGTAGCGGTGACCCTAAAACTAAGCTTAGAGGATCAGTTCCACCAACAGGCACAGCCGGTTCCTGGCAGGCGAGGCTCGGCAGCCAGCAGTTGGCACTGTTGTTCCACGGGAGAAGGGACGGGCAGCACCAGCCAGGGATGCAGCAGCAGCAGCAGAGTGCAAGCCCAGGGACTGGTCTTCTGAGCATCACTTGTAAACACAGTCCTGAGACACACACATTGCCTGTACCTGAGCACATACACTCTTCATACACAGTCTGCCCAGTCATGTCACTAGGAAGAAGAAAATATTTCCATCATTGGTACAAACACCATGCTTGCTTAGACTCTACAAGTGCAAATCTAATCTGTCTGGCAAGACAGGTGGAACACAGAGTGACGTGCTACAGAAGAGCTGGGAAATTCAAATCGATTTGCCACATCACAAAGTAACAAATGACAAAATTCTTCACAAAAGCAACAAGATAATTCCAAACTCACTCCAAGAATATCTAGAAAAGGGAAGCTTTCTTCCAAATAAGAGGGACCCTCCTCTCCTTCAGTGGTTTGCTGCTTGCAGCACAGCCCAAAGTAGTGGTAGTTGGTGTAGATGAGCAAAACAAGGCCAAAAGAGGGGACATCACAACGGAAAGGCAGCCCTTACAAAACATGCTGATACAAAGGAAGAGGCATTTGTTAATTTTTCCCATCCCAGACCCCTTCAATACTTCACAAGCCTTGGAAAAAGTCAGAGCATAGCAAAAGGAAAACTCAGATCCTGTTTTTTTACAGCTACCTTACCTGCTCCTCAATCAAAAAAAAAATTAAAGTAAAATAAGACAGTTAAAACTACTTACACTTGTGTAGCAGAGGCAGGGAGAATCTCACTGGGAAAAAAATATTGCCTCCACACGCAGCCCTTCTCCTCTTGGACTTCAGTAGTACATGTCTTGGCAAAAATGTTAGAATATGTAAGAATTAAATAGAAACAAGTTAAATTTAAAGAAAAGGTAATCAATTGGAAACATCTGGGCAGGAACTTTAAAAAAGAAAATAAAACAGAACAAGTCTACCACATTTCATTGTGAATCCATGGAAAAGGAAACTAGTGCATCAGTACTTCAGTACATAACATGGGGAATTTTATCAGTCTCTAAGCACAGGAGCGTGAAAGCTTGTCTGAAGAAAGGGTAGGTGTCTGAGCTTTGCCTGTGCTCCTGCTCAGCACCAGAGCTATTTCATCATGAAGGGATGCTCTGTAATCAAGGTAATAACTGGCTTTCAACACACAAAAGACAGAATGGTGGAGAAAAGCCTGGGCTAAAAAAATTAGATGGTTAAGGGTGAGAGATTGTTACTCAAGGTCTTTCTTTTGGTCACTGGTTTGAGGAGGGGAAAAAGACCTCATGATATGAGAAAGAGAAAGGAAAAAAAAAAGAAGACTTATTGAGAAATAACAAAGAAACATTCAGAAAAATTAATTCTGGGATTTGGAAAAGTAAATTGGTGAAGGAGCGAGAGCAGAAGTTTCCCAGTGCATTAAAAAAAATCCAAAAACAAGAGACAGCTTTGTCTAAAAATGTGCCACAAGAAAAACATGACAACAGCAGCAGCAAAATCCTTTCCTGCTGTGATTGCAGCAGCAGCAATGCCAGAGCACATTGTGGGGGGCATGTATACATTGCATTTGGTTTAATGGCCTGAAAAATAAGTAATTCGTTCCTTTACACTGAGACACATTTCTCAGACTAGGGAGAAAGAGAAGGCAGTTTAGCACTACATTACCATGTCTGCCTGTTGCAATGGCCCTCATAAGGGAGGAGCAGCCTTTTTGGAGCTGCACCTGAGTTCCTCTAGCTGTTATTGGCACAGCCTCAAAGGTAATTTTGCCAAGCAGTTGTCCTTCTGTGAGCACATTCCCTCAGAGCAAGCTTACCACCAACTACATAATGGCAAGGAAATTTTTTGTAAATCCTAAAAGAAAATAGGATCATATTAGTGAACCTCTTTTAATCTGCCTTCAGTATATATTTACTGCATTGCCTTGCATGGATATCTATAAAGGAGATACAGTGTTGTCTCTTTTAGTTTTACCCCACGCTAAGTCCCCAGTTATTTTCCAAGGGGAGATGAAATATGACTGCGAAAATCAGTGCACTGTATTGAGAAATCAGCAACTGACTTTTGAAGGTCTGTGTCATACAGCAGGGTCTCACTCCATTGTCTAAGTCATGAATGTCTTACATATTCTGTAAATTCACATTAAAAAATCAAATTACAAAGTTTAAATTATTTTTTATTATGGTCTGGGGTCTCCACTTGCAGAGACAGAGGTAATATAAAACCCATCAGGCTATTTCAGGAAGACAGCATCAGTTCTACACCAGTTATGCCCATTCTGCATTTGGAAGCCCCACCACCATCACAGGATTTGCAGCACAGAGACTAAGAGCTGAGCTTTGCCTGTATCCAGTAATTCAATTTTCCGGTTTCTTTCACAAGGGAAATTTGACACAAGACACCTTTAATCTCACTGCTGTCTCTGCCCATCACTTTCAAGGAAGCTGCAGCAACAGTGGAAAAACTAGATGCCTCTAGTTAAAGGGAAATCTGGATTTTAAAATGTCACCACTAGACGTCCCCTTAGCTCTAGCCAACCAAGCCGAGGTGCTTCTGTAGCCCTGATGGCTTCTTCCAGCCACCCTGTGCAACACCAGCAGCCACGGAAGGAGCAAGGACCCTCCAGGGACTCTACCTACCACCTCACAGTTTTTAGACCACGTTAGCTGCACCCATGATTTATGTGCTACTGTCACACCCCGTGCTTGCCAAGCAGAAACATACCTTAAGTGTTAGCGGTTGGCTGAGAAGAACGGGTCCATTCAGGCCTGGTTGCAGCCTGTCTTTGCCTTTCTGACTGCCTGGGGAAAGCCACTGAGGTGGATCTGCACCAATTCTGATCCCAACAGGTCTAGAAATTTCCTCTGATACCCTAATGAAGAAGCAGAGGTTCAGCGGGTGTAAGGCAAAGCAGCTGTCAAGGGAGCCAGTCTATGCTCTCTGTGAATGGCCCTTACCTTTCAGAAGAGAAGATCTTACATTCCCCACATCCTGCCTGTGACATGAGGTTAGATAAAATATGTTTAGGAGGCATGACCTGGCCTGTAGCCCAGCTGTCTGACCACAGTAACCACACTCTTTCCTTATAAACAAGACACTGTTCCTTCTGGGTATCTGCGATTTGCCAGTTCAGCTTTATTCAGCTCACTAGAATGATTTTTGTTGTTATTGTTGTTGTTGTTGTTAATGCATTTTCCAAAATCAAAACAATGGCTGTGGAACACTGTTAAAAAACACTGCTTTTCCTGCAGCTTTGGTGAAACATGGAAAAATCATCTGTTGTGCAGCCACTTGAAGTGGGTTGTTTAGCTGCTTGAAAAAGTTCTCAAGGAAACTTCTCTGAGAGATGTGGTCACCTGCCGAGACTGACACTTGCACCTTATGTCATAGCTCAAAAGAATGAGATCATCATCACTTCAGGCATTTCAAGCAGGGATAGAAGGACCAGTTGAGAGTTAAGTTCCGCTCGATCAGAGTGTCAAGAGAATAGAGTCAATGACCCAAGGGAGGATTTTCTTTTTGGTCCCCAGTTAAAGCCACAATCACTAACCTCGTCCCTAATAATTTTTGCTCCTCGTTAATATAAATTCAATAATCTCTCTGCCAACTGGGAGTATTGTGAATAATTCATCAAGTAAATTGCTTGGACATAGTTGCAAATATTCCACTAATAATCACCACAAGATCTCCTGCTGTCTTGCTGCGCTCAGGTATTTCACTGTTGACTCTGCTACACACCTGTAATTGTCACTCTAATCAGAATGAGGTTTCAGAATCACTGCTGCTCCTACTCCTGAGGATGGCAGATCGCAAATGCATACCAAGAAAACACAATCTCTTTGTAACACACCTTCTCATACTCCTTTCACAGTATCCAAGCCTTGCCACTCATTAAATACTATCAGTCAGGACACACGTAGGTGATTTAAATCTGTACTGGAATGTTAAGAGCAGAGTTTTCTGTCTTCCAGTCAAGACCCTGCTCAGCCAGAAAGGCCCCTAAGTTGTCTTCTGAGATGTAAGTTGGCTTTCTTCTGTGTTCTCTCAGAAATTCAAACATTCTATGTTAAAGCAGGCAGAGCATACATAATGTACACACATTGGAGTTTTTGGGGGGTTAGGGCAAGAAGTAAGTATTTAAATTGCAGGAAGGGAGATTCAGGTGAGGTGTAAAGGCCTGTTTTCCAGCAGTAGGAATGATGAAATAGTGGAGCAGAGCACTTGGGAATGGTGTAGGACCTTGAACACTGGACATCCTTGAGGACAGGTCATGAAAGCAACCCCAAGAGACATTTGCCTGAAGTTGATTCTCCTTTTGAACATGTCCCCAGCCCCATCACCTCTCTGGTACCACAGTAACACAGTGCAAACAGTCTTTTCCTCTAATTTAAAATGAGATATGCTCCTCTGGGTACTGTGATAGTAGCAGTTACAGAAGATGCAGAAACTATCTCTCTTGCAGACACCAGCTGGGGTTATTTTACAGGGACAACTTTCCAATCAAAAAGGAGGCAGAGCTAAACCATTTCTTTGCCAACTCCGCCCTCCGTAAGTATATGCCAATCTTTCCTTGGACTTTGTCCCTGAATTTGAAAGGTAACCAGAAAGCATCAGATAAGAAACTGGACACATCAAAATAGTCAAACAAAACCTGAAGGACTTTGACAATAAACACGCATGGAGCGAAGACACTTTCACACAGATTCCTCACTTCCGCGTGTAGGAAGACCTACAGCAGAAATTTCGTTTAGGAGAGAAAAATACAGCATTGAGATCTTTATAGCAATCCCTAGCTACTCTCTCTGGTACTTTTTGTCACCCACACAGATCACAGGCTCACAGAGGTGCCATCTTTTGGGCACCATACAAACACGGGACGAGTGCGGGAACGCCCTGAATGGTAATGTAATACAAACAGAGATAAGGGAAGAGGAACAACAGTGAACAAATGCAATGCACTCTGATTACCAGAAAAATCCTGGCTTGCTTCCTAGAGAAGCTGTGGTGGCAGAAGCTGTGGTGGCACCTGAATCAAAGAGGCCTCCTGGAGCAGAGGACAACATAATGTTAGCCAAAATACATTGGGGTTAAATAAATCAAATAAGCACGTCATCACCATGACAAAGCAAAAGATATCCATAGAAGGACAACTAAAAGATCCAGTGTGCTCACGCCACTCTAAAGGCTTAAACAAACTAAACTTAAAACAGTTCAGCTGGTTTATCTTTTTAGATAATTTATAGAGCAGTATCATACCACCACAACAGGGCCCACTCAGGACATGGGGATCACCCCAGCTCTGCCCCCTCACCAGAATACCTCTCCTGGCAGAAGCTGGGTGGGACATGCGGTGTGGCTGATGGAAGCAGACTCAGGTGCCTTAGCCTGTGCCCCTTGGAGGTGATGCAGATTTGATGGCCAGATGGGCCCTCAGCATGGCAGCAGCCCACAGCCATTTACACCAGGTTCCTTCAACAGACTGAAATGCACTCCTAAATCAGTCTGAAACTACGGTCTCCTCTGCATTCACTCCTAAACTTAATACAGTTTGTGTCAGATTCATCCTTTCTCTCCCTCTCTCAATCACATCCACACACACAGACACACTAAAAAGATAAGCAATGCGTTGTTCAGTGTAATTTCATGAGTTCCACTTTCTAATGACACTCCCCAAACCTGCTACCTCTTCTTAAGGCTAAAATACAGACTTTCACTCTGGTCCTTTCAGAAAGGGTAGAGTTATTGCTTTGCTTCCAGCTAAGCAAATTAACTGAATTTGCAAATCACAGCTACATTCACAATTGTAGCACTAACACAGGGAAAATAGCACCTCAGCTGGAAAGTCTTTCAGCTCCTAATGTCTGAGAGTAAACTTTCTTGGACCTATGAAAGCAATTATTTTTCTGTTTGAAAAGAACTTCCTCCTACCACTTTGATACCAGGCTGCTATCACTATTCAAGTATGCAAATCTGACCAAGCCACCAAAATAAATGTTAAAAATCTCCCTGGGAATAAAAGTACTGTTTGTATAGACTTTAACATCCTTCTCCCACCTTCCAAGCAAAGGCTACTCTAGCAGCTGGTAGGGTGAGGCTCTCCCAGTGAGGTGGGAGCGGAAACACGACAGCTTATCCTTACGCACTGTCTTCAGTGTTTCGCTGAGTTAGGAAAGGACAGGACACCAAACACATTCCATGGCACTCTGCCAAGCTGGGGCCCAAAGGGTAAACAGAAAGTAATACACAGGATGCAAAAGCATCTTTAAAAGAAAGAAAAAGAAGAAAGGGGCACCAGGTGGTCACTGAAATGATCCAGAACAGAGGAATGTGAACGAACATTTCAAGTTCTGCTCTTAACACCTTATTAAACATATAAGGATCTGTGTCTTAGGAGCAGGCTGTTCTGGGAGAACCATGTCAGGCTGAGATTTTGCAAATAATCCATCTCCTCCCCAGTCACCAGTGAAGTCACCACCTCAGCGCCCAAGTGTCCCTGTCTTTCCAGCACTACATTTAAGCACAATTGCCCCAAACATTTTTTTCCCTAATTAAACTGCCTTCCAGTGCCATTACAGTAAATTACCACAAGCAGATTTTGTTCATTTGCTTTTTAACTGCGGACTCGTATAACGCAGCGTGCAAACCCTAACGAAGGGCATTTGTACGCCAATGAGGGTCGATACCACAGTTTAACAGAGAGCAGCTTTGTAAAGGGAGAACAAGGCTACTGCAGTGTGCTCTAGGGCTTTCACTTCCTATGGCCAGCGCCGGATCTCTGTTCCGTGTTAATGAACAGCTGCTGTTCATTCAGCCATCGAGGTGGTCCGCTGGGACGGGCCGCTGTGGGACAATTCGGAGGGGACACGCCGCATGCAAAGTCCCTCCGCCTATCTGAACGCTTGGCATGAACAATGCTGGCCAAACCATCCGTGCATATCACAAAACTCGGGAAGTCACACAGCATCATTTAGGTCCCATGCTCTTTGGTTCAAAGGCAGAGTGGTACAGAAAAGGGCTCTGCTGCTCAGAGAAATAACTCTCTTAGAGCCAAGAGGTGGCCATTACAAAAGCTGTGTTCCTTCAGCCGGGTATTCCAGAAGAGCTTTTGGGCTGTGATGAGGCCTTCTCATCTAGTGGGACACATGAGAAGGCACTCTCCCATACAAGCTAACGTTCCAGTGATTTTCATTCAATCTCAGGTGACTCTTTTTTTTTTTTTTGAGGAGGTCTGAAAATGGTGCATTAATTGCAGTCTGCTCTTAATTGTTTTTCCTAAGCTAAAATAACTCAAAGGTCAATCATTTAAAAAAAAAACAAAACCAAACAAACAATAAACAAACAAAACCCCAAACCCACACAGCAACAACAAAAAAAACCACAAAACACACCTTCATGCTGAAATAAGAGTCCAGGCACTTGCAGTAGTTTACTGGAAATCTGCTTAAATACACAGCTTTAATTAAAAGGGTGTAGTTTTTTTTTTTGCACAAGCCTCAAGAGAGAGTCTTGCCCAGGAAAGGTGATGGGGACAGGGGGTGAAGGCCAGCCCAAAGAAAACCTGGCCATGTGACCATAGAATATTTTTGTGCTATCCTTTCCTTCCCAGCTAGCTGTCCATCCTGTCTGGGAACCTGGCTGCCTCCCTAAGCACACGTGAAGAGTGAGCCATGCTCCCAGCCTATGTGCTGCAGCTTCACTGGTCTCACGACAGCCTCAGTCAATCTCCCCTTATCTTTATTCTCTCTCCCTCGAAAAAGCAAATAAAACCCCCTGAGCCTCTCCAAAGCCAGTTGCCAAGCAGAAATGAAGCAGAAATCCCAAACAGAAACATTGCCACTAGATTATTTACAGGCAAATACATACATGGCAATT